TCTGGATAAGAAAAAATTATTTTCTAGAGTGAAACAAGCACCAATTCCTTATAAGTAATTTCTTTTTCTTTTTGACTTGTCATGTGAGACTTTGTTCACGCACACAGAGAAGAGACTGTGTATAGTCTTTGAAGTTATGGGTAAAGATAGTAAACCAGCTCATAGAGGGACAAAGGCACTAAGTAGAGCCACATGCCTTTACTCCGTCATCTACATACTCGTCTTGTCAAAGTATTGGCTTTAATACTATGAGCTCCTTATAAGTAACTTCTTTTTCTTTTATGCTTTCTATGTGAGACATTGTTCACACACTCAACACATATGAAGCCATTTTTATTTAGCGGGATATAAAATCAAATTGGTTCTTTGGCTCAATTCTGATTTCCCCATTTTTTTTTCACAAATTTCATCATAATATCACAATAAGTTGCACCACTTTAAATATTTCGCTATAATCTTTATAAGTTGGAATAAAAGCACTTGCTCCACTCATTATCGCTGCCTTGCCAACTTCAGAAATGAAAACATATCTTACTACTTGTTTGTTCTGTCATTCCACATAATAACTTATGTAACTAACAAAATAGATACATATTTTGTAATAATTAATCATTTGTTCGATTTTAAAAAAATAATTCTATACAAATATATATATATATATATATATAGTGCGCAGAATCGTTTTATGTAATTTGTTTGTTTGATACCAAGTCAAATTAAAATTTGTCAATTTTTCCAATATTTACCATAAAACAAATCAATCCAAGCACATCATTTGTTTTAAATAGGTTTATAGCCTGTTTGGCCAAGCTGAAGAATTCAGCTTATTTTGAGAAGTATTTTTTTTGAAAGTGCTTTTGAAAAAAGTACTTTTGGAGATAAGCAATTTGTGTTTGGCTAATCATTCTGAAAAGCACTTTTGATCAATAATTTTTGTTTGGCCAAACTTTTCAGAAAGTGCTTTTAAGTATCAAATTATGAATAAGGACATGAATAGATTTACTTAATAGCTAATATTATAAGTAAATAAATAATCTTAAAAATTTGTTATTACATGCAATAATTAATTCTTTTTATTTTATTTAAGTAAAATATGAAAATAAAATTTAAAAGTACTTAATTCTTTTAATATAAGTTAAATATATTAAAAATTATTCAACAAATATAAAAGCATTCACCCCTAAAGTCACTATATATTAGAAAGCTATCCTAATAATAATAAAAAATATTTATACATTAATATCCTAAGTATTAGGTTTAACGATTATTTTGGTATATACTATATTTTATTAGGGGTATATTTGGTAAGAAGAAAAAGTTAAAACTGTTTTTGCTTCTGCTTTTAGGAAGACGTTACTTTTTTTCTGCTTCTCAGAAACTATTTCTACTTCTTTTCAATTTTTTTTTCTCTCCAAAATAGCTTGGCCAAACAACTCAAGTTAGAAAAAAAAATATTTTTGAGAAAAAAAAAAGAAGCACTTTTGGGCTATTGATAAGCTTGGCCAAGAGTGCTATTAATTTGGTCCAGCTTTTCCTTTTTTTTTTTTTTTTAATTTTTAATTGTTTTTTTTTTCTTTAACACCTCTAACAGCTAGAAAAAAAAAGAAGAAGAAAAGCAAGGGCCGAAAAGAAAAAAAATAAAAAAGAAAAAAGAAAAACCAGGAGAATAGAGAGAAGAGAAAGATAAAAAAGCTGGAAATCCAAGCTCATATTGGTTCCAAAGGCGACGAGGACAACTGATACGGATCGGGAAATCCAAAATAGGTAAAGCAGAAAAGAGCAATTCGAACCATAAAAACAGCAGCGACGAAAATGGAAGAATCAACGGCTAAAGTAGGGAGATCAATAGCCGCGCCGATGATATTCCTTATTGTCGTAGCTTTGCAATTCCTTTCCCGCTATTTCGAAATCAATAAAAAGGTTATTCTTATGTTTTTCATGTTCTTTATATCACAATTTTCCTTTTAAATTTTCTATTTAACAATTTTCGGTTTAAGTTAATTTCACAATGACTCGATAATGAATATCAGTTTTTTTTTTAAAATCTTAATTTTGATTTGGTGAAATAGCAGCTTTTAAGTTTTTGCTTTTGAGAGATATGAAACATCTGTCGATATGTTAATGATTGATTTGTTCAATGTGGAGGCTTGAGTCAATTCGATTTTGTTTGTTCTATAAGTATCATAGATATCTTAATATTTGTTAAATAATGGCTTGATCTACAATTGATGTTGTTCTATGGTATGAACTGTTAAACTTTTTTCAGAAAGGTTCCACAAGCTCCGAGGATATGCAGCTGCGTGCAGAAATTAAGCAGCTGCTAAAGGAGGCAAGTGCCTTGTCACAGTAAGTGATATCTTGTTTAGTAATCAGACTTCACATCTAGTTTTTTCTTTTTCTTGTTAATAACAGTAGTGTCAGGCCAGCTAAATCAAGGGTACCTGCTACTCCCACCTGTATAGGTACCTAAATCAAGGGTTAAACAGATGAGAATAAATCACCTAGAGATTTTTGTCTTTGCTGGTATTGCTAGAATTTGAACCATGATTTCCCATGGTCGAATCCAACATCACTAAACGCTGAGCCGCACCCTTGGGGCATATGTAGTCTTAGTCATATAAATTACTACTAGTATCTTTTCTTTGTACGTCAGAGCTTATCCTAAGCAAGATTTCATTTTGATTTTTCTTTGCCGTGAATTTTCAAAGATTTTCTTTTATGTTGAGTTACCGTAGTTATACTTGATTGATAAGTGGGTTGATAGTTAGTAATATATAATGAAACTAGAAAGTGGAGTTTTCAGAGGGCACATGATAGTTTTCTCTTTTCATATGGTAAATAAAACTGATCATGTCATTAGGGAGGTTCTATGGTATTGAAAATTGATTAGTGCCTTCGGATATATTTCAGGCCGTCAACATTTGCACAAGCTGCAAAACTGAGGAGGTTAGCTACAGCCAAGGAGAAGGAACTTGCCAAAAGTATCGCTTATATTCTATCTTCTTTAGAATAGAAACTAGTACTTTACTCATAATCCATACCTAGAATGACAAATACTACATGGCTGTGCTGCCCTGGCTTGATATAGTAGCTTTTAGAAGGAATATTGGACTTGACTTCTGTATATTCGGATATGATACGTTCAGCTGTTTTCTTGCTATAGGGAATAGAACATTGCTGATAGAACTTACTGGTTACTGCCAGGGACAAGTTATTCACCCACTTAATGAAGTGATTCGTCTTCCATGAATTTTATGCCCAAATTTAGCAGATTGTGCCCAGATTTATGCTGCCTCTTGTAGACAAAAGAACAGTCATCATATCCCACCAAATTACATTTGTGACGGAAAAGATTACTTTAAAAGAATTGACGATCCTCATTATCAATAGCATTACAAAGCAAAGAACGAGCATTCTGCAATGAGTTCCAAATAAATGTAAATCTTGTCCATTGTACTCAGCCTACCATGGATATGAAACCACGAGATAAAGGAATACTTGGAAGCACTTCAGACTATGCCAGTACTATTAGCTGATCTTTTCAATTTTTCTATAGTAATTTGACTAGTTAAAAGACTAGATTGAGTTGAATGCAAGAGCGTTTCAAATGTAGAGGACAAGGTGCAGCATACTAACTCTTTCAGCTCAACATGAAATTTATCAATAAATTTACACATTTATCATTCTCTGTTGCAGATCAAGCAATTCGCAGCAAAGAGACGAAATTGTCATATGATACATACACAAAAGGCCTAACTATTTTGCAGGTATGCATGGGGTTAAGTGGTTTGCAAGCTTCATTTAAGTGGTAATATGCTTATTCACCTGCTAATCACACAGGTCTTGACGTACTTGTTGCTGGTTATCTGGTTTTGGCGTATTCCTGTGGCTTCAATATCTAAGCAGCTTGTACAGCCTTTTGGTAATGATGTTAATTCGTAGATTTTTGAGCTGTAGTCATATCTGCATGACATTTCATGAATGTGATGCATGCTTATAATGTACACATTTGCCAATTTGCTTTGCTGTGTCTTTCATTGCGGTTTATGGACTAATGTACATTTGATTGCTTTCGCCGGCTTTTAGGGATATCCTTGTTTCTATTTCCATCGAGCAATCTACCAGTGACATACTGATCTGCTGTTCTTCCACTTTTGCAGGCAAGATGTTGTCTTGGCGAGCTGGAGGTCCTACTAATGAAAATGTTATGGTAATGATTAGTCGCGAATATTTCTTTAATGTCGATTTGTTTCTTTTTGGGGAAATAATGACTGAACGAAGCAGCCCTGTGAGAGTAGGTCTTACGGTTTGAGCCTCTGCTTAAATCCCACACCTTACCTATTTATTAAAACAACAACAACAACAAACCCAGTGTATTCCCATAAATGGGGTTTGGGGAGGGTAGTGTGTACACAGACCTTACCTACCTTATAGAGATAGAGAGGCTGTTTCCGATAGACCCTCGGCTCAAGGAAACCTTACCTATTTATTAACTTAATAGAAAAAAGAGTAAAAGAAAAGGGTTTAAAAGATTTATTCACTAGGTATCGTTATATTTTCCTGGGGCTTTCAGAGAAGCACCTAAGAATTTAGGAAACTCTTTCCCTGCAGTTTTCGTCATTCCTCACTTCCTACGGAAAGCTAACATTTGTCAACATTCTTCAAGTATATTATTGTGATCATACAGTGTCCAGTCCATCCAACCCATACATAACATATGATTAATAGGATCTACAGTCCTTTTCTTTTCCTATTTTATCGTGAGTTTTGAAGAGAATTATCTTGTTGGATCTTATTGTACCTTTGGTTCTTTATATTGGGCCAAGTCTGATGTGCGTAAAAGGCAGCACTTGTAACATATCACCAAAAAAACCAAAGCTGCTTGTGTTTTGGCTGAATGACATTTTGAACTGTTTGTTTATTGCAATTGCAGGTGGGTATTATTCCATGGTTGATATTGTCTACGAGAGTCAGCAAATCTATCTGCCGAAGAATATTCAACTAGGAGGAGAAAGTATAAGTGACATTAGTGTGCACTGACCCTTTTTTTTCCTTTCTTTTTGATATCTATTTCGTTGTATTGTCAATTCATTGGGATTTGCACATTGAATGTGCTACACCTCTGTAAGGAGTACACTTTTTCTTTTTCTGGAAGTAGGAACAGATGCGATGAGTTAGAACTCATGTTAGAAAGGAGTACTTCTATACGGCTTCTTTTGGTTTTGAAAAGCAAATGCAGTTTTTGGTTGTTGGATTCTTTAGGGATAAGTTAGTAATATTTAAAGTTTGTGAAGTGGATCCACTTTTGAAGTTGAAATATAATTATATTGTGTGCATTTGGTATACAAAAGAGGATTTTTGTAGTCACAACGCTAGACATAATTTGCACGATCACGTCAGCCTTGCTGTTGATGCTGCTTAGGGTTGAGCTACATTGGCTTGGTTCAGCTACAACAGTCTCAAATTGGTTGTAAACTTCGTCCTTTCCTGCAAAAAGAAGTCTAATCCACAGTCAGGATTTAGTGTGTATATGATATTTGCTTCATTGTGTGGTTAATGCGATGTACATATTGCCACTGACTGCTTTTGTTTGTGGCAATGCTTGTAAGAAAGATGCATAACCCACTTTTTGTTTCTAAGTGATTTGAATATTTGAATTTTTTTACCTTATCAATAGTTTTCTCCAGCTCTCTTCCCTGAGCAGGTCACAGCAATCCATGTCCTTCAGTTGAGTAGCAATGTAGCTGTTTGCCCCTCTGGAGTGTGAGTTCACCTGCCTAATGTCTACTTAGTCACCACTATTCTAGTGCTGCAGGGTCTGCTGACACATCCATGTTAACATATCACTATTCAGAATTCATTTTCTTTTTAGGATGCACTCTTTAGTCTTCCTTTCACTTTTAGAATGTTATTGCCCATGTTAACTACCTTCTTTTTTCTTCCATTAACTCTAAAATTTCACTAATAAACACCAAGTTGGTATCAAGAAGTATGTGCAAGTTGTGTATATGACTCAACCTGAGTCATATACAGGCATTTGTCAAGTTTGTTCAGCTACCTATATATACTAACATTCGCCGTCAAGCTTCTGAAACCATGTTGACTACTCAAAGAATGTGTTTCAGTAACTTGATTCTGAATCTCTCTATTTATAGAAGTAATTGATACAATTAAGTTGAATAGAACTGGAGTTACAAATTCTAGGTTAATTCCTCAAGTATCTCCTTATCCCAATTGGTTCGTTGCTTTCTCTTTCAGGTTTTTGACTTATCTCTCAGCCATATGTAAGGATGATGTTCAGGGAAAGAAGCTAATACATGCAGCCATCAATGCATTGTTTTGCGTTCCGGTTTCTGGAAGTTCTGAAAATGATAATTCTGTGGAGAACCAAAGTGAAACTAGAGATGCAAAACCTGCTTTACTTTGGAGTGTCTTGTTTACTCAAGCGCTTACTAAGGTATCTGCAATACCCCCCCTTTTTTTTTGATTTGCTCTAGACAGCTACCAGCTACCATTTTGTTTCAATATGAATTTTCTTCAGTTCTTGTTTCATTTCGCTAAAGGAAATGTGCTATTCGTTTTGATAATGCTTTTTGTTTGTCAAAATACTGAAACGGCTATCAAGCACATTTCGCTTTTTAGGCCTTTGCTGTCAGTCACTTTTGATTCTTTCAGGGTTATGGATTATCTTGTTTATTTTGGCCTGGAATCTTCTGCAAATTTAGATAGAGGTTATCAACTTATCATATAGAATATCTAACATGTTCATTAGTGTATTCATAAAAAAAACATGTTCATTAGTGTCACTGAGCATAGTACATTAGTTGGTTGGCAGATAGGAATTAATTACTCGTGTTTATCACCCGTGTTTTGTTTAGAGTTGAAAGTCAGACTAGAGCAGTTGGATTGCTTATCGCCCAATTCAGTCATTATTTTGTCCCGGAGGGAGGGTGTGGTGTCAATATTCATGGATTAGATTCCATGGGATTAAGTGTGAGTATTCCTTTTCAAGAAGTGTGAGAATTACCCTTTAGATCTCCACTTATAAATAGGCTAAGGAGAGCTTTTGCTTCATTTCTCTTCCTCGTTGCCCTTCATCTCCCTCCAACACAGAGCCTTTCCAGTTACATCTTGCTACCTCTGGCGACTCCTCTTCCCTGCAGATTGCTTTACCTGCTGTCCGTCGATCCACCCCCCAATAGAGAAAGGCCATGTAGCTGAGATTATGATTTTCTGCCTCCGATCTCCTCTTGTTCCCTCCCTTCAGCTGATTACTCCGTCTCTTTCCTTTCATTTGTCTTCCTTGTATTTCTTTCTCCTGCCCTTGCAATTTAATGTTCTTCACCCCTTTGTTTTTTTTCCTATGATTTTTTCCCTTTGTTATTCTTCTCTTCTCCTTATCCCCGAAAACATTCTACTTTTATGTCCTGAAATATTTACGGTTTGCTAATTATTCAACAATCTTCTTCTTCTCTCTCTCTCTCTATTTTCTTCCCAACAATTATTACATTCTTTTACCCAGGTTGCGATTCTTCTTCTGTACATTATAGTTCATGGTTGAAAATTATGGATAATTAGTGTTAGATTGATGGACATTGGATGGAGATGAATTTGTGATGGAAAAATCAAATATAGTAGTCTAGTTAATTAATCTAGTTTCGTACTTTCGTATATATTATATAAAACCCTTGTTTTGCATGAGGACCATTCTTGGACTGATATTTCAATTTTCGTGTAAAATGCAGATTGGGTGGGTTACTGTTGAGGTACCACATGGGAAGCACAGAATATCGGGTTGTGATACATCTTAGGATTCCCAAATAATTAATCATTTATCCATGAGCTAATAATCTCAGTTTATGTGACATGCTACCAAATGATTCCCGAGTTTGTGATCCATGCCTGGCGTCTTGGCCTTACTTTTCCAAATTCCGTCCATCAGTTTTAGGATGTACTAGATAACATCATTTGTACCCCCACGCCAGATGGGAGTCCATACTACCATGATCTTCTGGTTGCTACAGAGAACGTAACATCCATTCTGCTTTTCTTAAATGGACCTCTTTTACATTGGTCCCTATCTTCTTTTTTCCCTGATAGCTGCCACCTCTTTTCTTCTTTCATCTTGTCCTTTACCTTCTTTGTCATGGCCTGTTTGCATTCATATCACAAGGGCTTATAGTGATGTAGGAGAAGGCTAGATCCTCAGACATTGACCCATTTGGTGTTCTTGTGCTATTTTTGTGTAGATATTTCAAGAGCTGTACTTTGAGCCCGAGGGTCTTCGAAAACAGCCTCTCTCTACCTCTACAGGTTAGGGCCAAGCTCTGCATACACACTGTCTTGGTATTATATTGGATATGTTGTATTATTTCAAGAGCTGTACTTTGGTGAAGAATTCTTTCCCAAGACAGACAGCCTCATTGGAGGAGGGTGCTGTCGAAGAGCTGGAGGACTAGAGACCAAATTGATGCTGCTGGATATGTTGTCATTTAAGGTGACAGTTGGCAGAATAATACAGTTTGGCATGGACAATGACGGCGAGAATATATTTGAGGTGGTTTCTGTCCCTATATTCCAATGTTGAAGTGTTTACTTGAAATACTTCGTTGTTGTAAGAGTAATAGCTATAGCTAGCCTTTCTTGTTTCTTCGGCCTACAAATGAACAGGAATGAGCGTAGAGGGTTGGCACGAGACTTGGGAGTGTTAAGGAGTTTGTCTACTTTTGCAATTATTTTTTGCGGTGGTTGATTCGAGACTTTCCATGAAAAAGATCGAGTTAGGAGTGGAAGAATCCCAAACGTCCCTGACGTCGCACTTGCAATCGGTAATAGGAGTACATTTTAAAGGTACTATCCGTTACTAGTAGTCAGTAGCAGTGGAAAAATCTAGTGAAAGGCCTGTGAAGCCTATGAGACTCTTTCACCAGTCGCCACGTGGCCGACATGCAACCAAAAGCCTATGTTATTTTCACCAGGCACGTTTGGTCCTTTCGATACTCTTATTACAGCAACTGTTTGCTTCTAAGAAATAAATACAGTACTTCTTCCGCTGGCGGCGTTTCAGATGTTTTGTCAATTTACTTTTGTGTACTTCGATGGAACGCGTGATGTGTTTTGCATGAGCATTGGTGCTGTCTCCCTTAAACTTTTCAATGCTTTGGAATAAAACCAAGATTGGGAGCCCTACTCTTTCATCATGCTTCCCTTTTTCATTGTTGGAAAATATAATGAAAGTCACTATAAACATTGATTTCTTTTTCTAATAGCTCAAGCATAAAAATGTATGTGTAGTAAATTTCGTTCGACTCTCTTGATCTTTTGAATTTAGTAGTAATAAGTAATACGTATCTCCTTCACCTTTTAAATGATAAAGTGAACCTCTAGGATCTAAAAGTAACTGCTAAAAATGAATTGATTATTGCATGTATTTTCAAAACATAGAAAACCAGATTCTTTGGAACGGTATCAAGCCCTTTATTTTCCTTTCCCACCCAAATTATGGTGTTTGCTTCAAAAATCTTACGAAAGTGCTTCATCCAATTTTATTTGAACTTTTTGCCAAAAAACTGGGTTTGTTCCTTGAGAGCAGATGGTTTATCGGAAACAATCTCTCTATCTCTATGAGATAGGGGTAAGATCTACGTACACATTAATTTTTTTTTCAGATCCCATTTATGGGATCAAACTGGGTTTGTTGTTGTTGTTGTTTTTGCAAAAAAAATTATATTTTTCAACCATTCACCAGAATTCCAGAAAGGAAAGTTTTTTAATTGAAAAAACAGAAAAACTCACTTTTTGGCATTTAAAAGTTTCTGAAACAGAAGTTACAACTTTTTTAACTAAGCTGTATTACGGAGATCAAGTCCCAAAAGACCAAAAAAAAAAAAAAAAAAAAAAGAGAAAAAGAAGAAGATTCGGAGAGATGAATGCGTTTAGTCAACACTCAAAACAAAAAGGGAAAAAGTCAATAACTAATAGGGATAGAACGAAACAGAAGAAATAGGAAAAGAACAATAAATACACACCCTTCTGCTTCTCTCTCTCTCTCCTCCCCGGGAAATGACAACTGAGCCTCATGCAATGCGCCTCTCTTCTTTCAACCTTTTTGCTTCCCAATTACTCCTTTTCTTTCCTCTGTCAAAGCTCTCTCTTTTCACTTTCAGTTTCTGTTCTCTCTCATGGCTTCTTCACAGAACCGTACCCTCACTGCTCTTGTCATTTTCCAGAACTTCTTGTATCCTGGTATGTCTCTCTGTTTTCACATGTTTTTTTTACGTTATAAAGCCAAAATCTTGATATGGGTCGGTGTTAAAACCAAGTCTTGGATTCACGTTTTGTTTTCATTCAAATGCACAGATTTTTCTTAGCTAAAGTACTCTGTTCTTTTAACAGTGATGTTTAGGTCGGTTCATGTATACCGAACAGAAGGAGGAAAAGAAGAAATGGAAGAGAGGGAGTATTTGTTTCATGAAACCAGTAACTTTGAGGAAACTGGGTTTGCTCCAGTTATTACATTGCACAAATTTGATGTCTCTGCTCAGTTTGTAGGGATTGAAAATGGTGTATGGAAATGCATGTTTGTGTATGACTCTGGGCGCCATCAATCCACCAGTACTAATGCTAGTCCTGAGTGGCTTTCGTTTGCTGAGTACGTTTTCATTTTCTGAGTATAATTTTTCTTGTTTCATCATCTTTAGTACACTAGGAAACTGGTTTTTCTATGTCCCATTTTATGTGATGGTGCTTCACTAGATACAGAGTTTGATATATTAATTTGACTTATACGTTATATAAATGATAAAGCAGGAAATGTTATAAGTGGTTGGAAAGTTAGTTTTACAGAGAATGTGAGTCAGCACTTTTTGTTTGTTTGGTCCAAGCTTCATGTTGTAAATGACAAAAATCACTTGATGGAGTTCAATAATTCCCTGAGTTAAAGGGAACAACTTCATTTTGTTGTAAATAGCTTTTATATTATGCATCTCCCTGGTGCTATTCTTAATTAAAGATTTTATCTTTTTATGAAAAAGTTAGTTTGACATCGAAAACGTCACATCAAATTTTAAGCTTTGATTGGTTTTTGATGAATTTGAACTTTTGAATGTTATTAAGGTGTAGAAAAATGGGATGTCAAATAGTTTGGTATGACCCAAGCGGAAATGTGTCATATAAATTGGAGGGAGAAAATATTTTTCTAATTCTCTCGAATCTTTCAGAATTAATGATGATTTCATGACTGTAAATTTTGCAGCTTTGCATGACTGGAGGTCGTTGTTTATGTCATAGCAGGCTGTGCGTGTTGTGTTCAAATTAGTACTGATAAAGTAATTTGGCTTTTGATTATTTAATAAGTGATGCCAAAATGTTCTCTTTTTTTCTTAGTTCCCCTTAAAAAACTATCCTTTTCTTAGTTGAACCATTGAATATGCCTGATATCTTTAGTTCTCTGGTAATCCATGACTCGTTATTTTTGGTTAATATCTGTAGTTCATCCTTTACTTAGCCAGAGCAGCTACAAAAGCTACTGCTTGAAGTGGATTCTGAAAAATGACTTACTTTGGCTATGCTCTGAGCATTTCTAAGATGAATTTACTTGCCTGTAGAGGTTCTGATGCAATTACCATATTGCCGTTTTCTGGCTTCATGGTATGCTCTCAATGAAGGACCTGTGCAAGGCAAAGAAATTCTTTTTGCTGCATCTTATATATTGGTTCAGTAATAAGTCTTGAGATTTTTCGTGCAACTAGAAATACTTTTGATTAGCAAATGTGAACATAGGTGAAATCCATTTAGGCTCATAATACTCTTGCCTTGAAGTTTCAGACTAGTCATAGTTGTAGATCCCTCCAACTGGAGCTGCAATTATAATTCACTGGGGATGTTATTATTCTGTAGTTAATTTTTATATTTTGTGAGCTATTTTTACTGTTTGCGCTGTTTCCTATTTCATCTAAAAAATTGGAGATCAATTACTTATCGTTCCATTGATGCAATTGTCATTGTTTCAGCGTTAAAAATTGTGTGTCCTGTCACTACCTGCATTTATGTGACTTGGTGATGTCCGTCTTTAACTCATTCTCTATTTCTTACTTAATTCTTTTATTTTATGTATCCAGAAACCCTAAGATGGAGTTTATACCAACATTAGCCAATGATCTGCGTGCTATATCTGAGTTAGCACTAAATGTCGAATTCAGGGAATTGTCGGGAAGGTCAAGCACTGAGGAAAGTGGAGGTAACAATATTAAAAGCAATCAGCTAGACGTGAAACGCCGCGTGCCCTTTCTGGACCTTAACTCTCTCCCTTATTCAGACTCGGACATTGAAGAAAATGACCAAAATGCGTCAGGTTAAATTCCAGCTTTGTTTATATACAGGAAGGTCTTTCAATTTCTGTATCAAACAGTTGGATATTGAACATGAAGTATCATATTATTAGCATACAGAAGTAAGCTGTATCTTTTCTTCATTGTTCATGCTGGATGCTTAGACATTCACTAATAACTAGATGAGATCATATTGAAATTCATGCTGCTTTATTTACAGTTAATCTGAATGGTGGTTTAGTGGAACATATTCTACTATGCATATGATCTTTCAAGCTAGGAGTGTGTATGGCCTCAAAAGAAGCTATATAAATATGTATTGCTGATTACAATGGCGGATGCTGGGAATAGTTTGTCCTATTTTGTGATGGATTTATACAAACAAGGAATCCTTCTAGGCCTTTTATTTCTAACTCGTGGTGCTGCTTGGAAACATATCATTGGTACAAGTTCCGACATCTCACGAATTTAGCTAGACATTTAATTTGCAAAGTTTCTCGTAGTGAGTCATACATTTTCAATTCCTTTACCAGTAGTTCTCAAGCATTCACTAGGTCCCCGGAGAGAATGGTTTCATGCTCTGTATGATCCCAATCACTCAAGGCTGTCTATCTTACAAGAGCGGCATGGTTTTGGCCTCAGCTTAATGCAGTCTTCGTTATTAGTATGTTTACTAGCCAAGCTCTATAAAGGGCATTTAAATTAATGAGACATATCTCCAATGGGGTATATTCCCCCTAAAAAATCAAGTGATCTGTTATGAAAGTAACAAACTAAACAAATTTGAACAACATTCAGATGTCGCACGGGAAGATAGCACTTTCAAGCAAAGAACTCATTATTTGTGCTGATGTGTTTTACCATAGTAGATATAGTTCTCATTAAGTAGTGAATCAGAGCAACTTTAAAATGACGATTACTACAATGGTAACTCTGCGAAATGACCTGACCAGATATTTTCATGTGAATTTCTAGGTTTCCTACTTACGTATCACTCTTTATATTAGGTTACTTGTATATTGACCTTACATGTATATGTCCATCATCGCTCTGTTGTGTATACTTATATCTTTCGGTTTCCAAAAGGAGATATGTCTCTATAAATATTTTGGATCTTATGGGTTTAGGAATTTTTAATGACAATGGCTGTATGTCCTGTCCTAATCACGGGTAAAAGTCTGTATTTTAAATCAAAAGCATTAACTGTTAGAAGTTCCTTTGTTTTATTGCCAGCTTTTGGCGTTGGATATCACACTATCATTGTTAAGCAGAGTTTCTGCTGGTATCGGTCCACATATTAGTTGTACTGGCGATGTATAGCGTCCTTATGTTTAGTTGGAAATCCAAATATTCTAAATGGGCTAAGTGGCAAAAACAATATCGTAACATCTAGCGATATGATCATACATATTTCACGTTTGATGGGAAGGACTTGAGGCCAAGTGAAGAGTTCATATATCATGGTGGATGGGAGATTTACATGATTTTCCTTAGTACTGTGTCTTCTGTGTTTTCCGTCAGGCTGTACTGTATCATCTTAGCTGATTCTCTTCAAGATATAATATAATTATAATATACTAAATAAAGCTATAGATTCAAAGAGCATTCTCTGCGTGGATTTCCTCAGAACTTGATGGGTGGTTCTCATTTGTCACATAGCTCTTCTATCAGAACATTTATTCCTTTCCCTTTTGAAGTCATAACTCCAGTGCTAATTGCAAACACCTATGAGTTTATGTTATTTTTGCTATGCTTTGTGCATTTTCTTTTCTTCTTGAGTTTGAATTTTATTTTCTGGATCATGGTTTTAATGCCTATTAGTATGATGCAAATTTCTCACTTTACTTGATCAAAAATGGCAATTAATTGATCCATAGACTTCAGTTGCATTCATGGATTTCATCATTTCTCTTTTCTGTGGTTTTGCAATATGTGAACTCACTTCCATCAGTTTATCTGCTTATTATTTAGTAGTCTTTTACTGGTCTGCTCTTTTTCAAAGAAGAAGGTACCTTCTGTCATCTGTGACATTATTTCCAGGAAACCTGGCACCTTGTTTTTTCTTTTCCTAGCTTAACTTATTTTTCTAGGAGTGAAATGCGAGGACTTTATTCCAAAAATATCATCTTTAGTTCCATAATAAGACGAAGTTTATGAAGAGTAAAAACCTGTTCATATCTTTAAGGATGTCATAAAGTCTTGTCATTACAAATATGATTCCATATTTAGCTTATTTTGTTTAAAATATCGGATGTGTAAAGAGATGCTGATAAAGGAAATAAAACGGAGTGCATTCACTGTAAACTAGATGGACAAGTTTCCTTCTGTGGTAATGCAGGAGCAGTTCACTATCGGTTTGGTGAGTTATTTGGTCACCAATTCAGTCTAATGAACTTGGTTCGTGCTTAGTTTGTTCGTACTTGCTAAAGGATGTGAAATTATACTAGGTTGGTTGATGAGTCAAAATTGTGTTAAATATTTTATGCATTTTTTCCCGTTTTTGAATGATTTGCTTGGTGTTTTAATTGTGGAATTGGCCTAATTTGTGGATTATTGTGGTGTTAGGTACCAAGAAGGGCCAAAATGGAGCTAATGGAACTATAGTGCTAAAAGCAGGAAACTGAAGCTATTTTGAGCGATAAAAGAAGGTGGTGCGGAGAAGTGAAGGTCCAGCCGGCAGCTGGTTTTTCAGCACTACGCAGCAACACCAGCGCGCCGTGAGCTACCCAGTTGGCGCAGTGGACCTTCTCTTCTGTGCACCTTCTTCTTTTATTGCTCCTCTTCTCCAAATAGCTTCAAATTCCTTCTTTTATCCTCTAAATAGTTCCCTAGCTTCATATTCGTTCTTCTTGGTACCTAACGCAAAGCTGTATAAATGCTTAAAGGATACAGAATTACTAACACAAAGCTGAAATAAGAACAAGCATCTTGATATGTTGTTAGTGGAAGACTGCTCTATGATTTAGAACTGAGCTAAACACAACAGTGCAATAACAACTTGTTGATTCTATTTACCCTCTTTTAGTTTTAGGGCAGGGACTGGAGCAATATCGGCCTTAATTGCCGTTCTGTATGGACTTATTTTCCAGGCTACAGATCAGTCTTAGTATTTTTTACTGCAAGGTAAATTGGGGACGACACAACTTAATTGCCTTGTAGAAAAGAAATCACTCTTAGGTTTGTTTGTTTTTGAATGTTCTCTATGTTTTGTGTTCCTTTTCTTTTAGCAGGGTTAAAAGCTGCTCAGTATATGTTAATTATTTATACATTGAACGAATAGTTAATCTAGTTCATTTTCTTGGTGTCCTAATACTGTTGGATACTATGACCTAAGATATGTCAATTAGCAGCAGTTGCATTAAGCTAGTTTCTGTCTGTCTGATGTTGTAAAAATTAGTTCTCTAGGAACTTCCGATCTAATTACCAGATATACCAGTCTTTAAATACTTTAACATGTGTAAATGTAAACGTTTTTTTCTCTGATAAAAGCATAGACACTTGCTAAAAGGATTATGAATTTGTAGAGAACAAGAAACGGAGGGCGGCAACCAAAGACATAGCAAGACTCGCTTTGGAAGATCTTGCCAAGTACTTTGACCTTCCAATCGTGGAGGCTTCAAAAAGTTTGAAGGTTGGACTTACAGTACTCAAAAAGAAATGCAGAGAGTTCGGCATCCCTCGATGGCCACATAGGAAGATCAAGTCTCTAGACAGTCTCATACATGATCTCCAGGTATCCTCTTCAACTCATGTATATTTGCTCCTATTTCATTGAACACACATTTTTCTTTTTCTTTGTTTCAATGTTCTTTATTATATAGCTAGATGTAGGAAATTGGTAAATGTTACTTGGACGGCCTACCAACTAATGCTCTTCAACTCATGTATATTTGCTCCTATTTCATTGAACACCACATTTTTCTTGTTCTTTGTTTCAATGTTCTTTATTATATAGCTAGATGTAGGAAATTGGTAAATGTTACTTGGGCGTATGTTTTTGTAGGAAGAGATGCAACGACAACAGGAGGAAGACGAGTTAGCAGCTATCGCAGTAGAAGAGAGAAAAAGAAGGATAGAATATGAAAGAGAAAGCATAGAAAAGAAGCCTTTCATGGACATACAGAAGGAAACTAAAAAGTTTAGACAAGATATCTTCAAGAGAAGATATAAAGCTAGAGTTCTTGAGAACCAATGTCGAACATTACCACTGTTTTAGTGTATCGAACATTAGATAGTTAAAGGAGCATCCGAGAAAATGTAAGTATACATTAGCTAGCTAGCCTTTTCTCAGAGATAGCAATCCTTCCCATCATTTTCCACTTCCCTGGTGGTGCATTTTTGTTATTCTACAACTCGGCGTCCTATTCTGAGGTGTTTAAATAAACAGCTTGATCAAGTTATTCATAGGATAATCTGGGATTCGTTGTTTAACTGATGGTTTTGTTGCCGCAAGCTACGCTTAATTGACTAACTGTTGAAGCCTTGTTTTGTTGTCAATTCAGCATAGAATTTAACACTGTTGGCAGCAAGGAGGTTGATTGTTCTGATTTGGTTGTAATTCAATTTATTTTAATCATTATTTCATGGCAATTTAAATTTTCAACAACAAAATGTGTTCTGTCACCTATGTATTGCATGTGTTATAAGTTAGAAATAACTTGCACTGATTTTGTCTCTGGATTAAAGCAAAGATCAATCAGATGTAATCCGAACAAGCTTTGCTATCTTACTTTGATTGTTCCTTCTATTTCTTTGCAACTGGAGAAGATTGGAGACTCTCATCGTTACTCCAAAAATTTGTTTTTACCTTCAGCCTTGCCCTTTAATTAGGCTAGAAAATTTACTCTACTCTTGATCTTGTTTCGTTTTTTTTTCTTTAAGTCTTAAGGAACAGATACACAGGTTTTTGAGGTATGCAAATTAGGTAGATTTTAGGTAAAAGAAGGACAACATAGGAAGAATGTGAATTGTATGTAAATTCAGGCCTTATAATTCGCCCACAAGGACGACGCTGCTAACCAAATAGAGATCCCTACCTTTTACGTTTACTTTAGCCATAATCAAAATCATCAGCTTTTGGCCATCTTAGTGTCCAGTTGAGTATACAGAGTACAGACATTCCTCCAACAGCATGTTTTGAGTATTTCTGTCTTATAATACCTGTCTGTTTTATTCTTTTTTTCTTCAATGTTTGTCGTTCTTGTATTTTATATGTAATCTTTATTTGGAGTATAATTCCACATTACTGGCTCGAGGAAATATCGAGTTCTTGACCAAAAAGAAACCACCTTTGGATGGTGATCTCAATTTATTATGGTTCTTGATGTTTGTTTATAAAATGCAGACTGCAGGTTCTGACACGTAAACTACAACTGTTTGAATTTGGTGTGGGAATAGAAAATGTTGAAGACAAGTGATAGTTTAGCAAGGAGGTTGATTGGGAGTTCAATTGTTTACATGCGTAGATTTCTGTTCCGAATTTTATCTGTAGGTCCAATACCAAACCACATCGCCTTTATTATGGATGGGAATCGGAGGTATGCTAAGAAACGGAATATAGCGGAGGCTACTGGATACAGAGCTGGTTTTTTGGCTGTCATGTGCATGCTCAAGTATTGCTACGAATTGGGAGTTAAATACATGACTATATATGCATTCAGTATCGATAATTTCAGAAGAAGACCGGAGGAAGTTCAGTACTTGATGGACTTAATGCTGGAGAAAATTGAAGGATTAATCAAACAAGAAAGCATTGTCAATGGATATGGAGTGAGGATACATTTCGTAGGGAACCTGAAGCTTCTTAACGAGCGAGTTAGAGTTGCAGCTGAGAAGGCGATGCAAGCCACTGCCAACAACACCAATAGCACTCTCTTAATCTGTGTGGCCTACACTTCTACTGATGAGATTTTGCACGCCGTTCAATCATCCTGCCTAGAGAAATGGAATGAAATCCAAGAACTTGACGCGAACCAAGCTCAAAATGGTGAAATAACTGAAGAAAAACTGGAGCTAAATCATATCATAAAGCTGGTAGATATAGAGAGGCATGCATACATGGGATTGGCACCTGATCCTGATGTTCTGATTCGAACTTCGGGTGAGACTCGTCTTAGCAATTTCCTTCTTTGGCAGACTACAAGCTGTTTACTGTATTCCCCAAAGGTATTGTTTCCTGAGATTGGTTTACGACACTTGGTATCGGCAGTCTTGAATTTCCAGCGACTGTATCCTCATTTGGAGAAGGAAAAGAAGCAGTTGTAAAAATCACTGCTATTTTACCTTTATTAGTCTTTTACATGCGCTTTGTCCCGTTTTTCCTCAGATCAGTAGTTGCTACCAGTCATTATTTCGATATTTTAACACCTCAAATGATAAGGTTGATGTTACGCAAAAACTGGTTTTAGAATAAATAATTGAATTTGTATTTTCCAAAATGCGTATAATGAAATGAAGAACAATAATGATAAATAAACCGAAATTGAGATTAAGATAAAAGAAATCTAATTGAGCCTCGGCCTCGGATGTGGCTATGCTGTAATGAATTACAAGCCTTAATGGATACAATGAGAAAGATAGCTTCGCAGGAATAGTGAGTAATCTAGAATGTTGGAGCTAAAGTCTTTATTTGGATTTGAAATCCACAGTATATCAAAATATATTCTCATTATAAGATCATCACAAACAGTCCAATAAATTTCTGGAATGAACAAATTGATTAAAATCTCGACACACTCATTTTAAGTCCATAATTTTTTTTCAACTACTATTAATGGCACTTAATTATAGTTTTCCGCTCATAAGATAGTAATTAGAAACACCGGTGTAGCCTTGATCTAATTTAGTTTCTTTCTTAAGAAACATTGCATACATTATATAGGAATGCTAAATACATACGTTGCTGCTAGTAGGTTAAAAAAGGCCATCACGCAAAAGCTGTGAATTGTTGTTAAGTGATGTTTTCGGTCTCTATCTCTTTCTCTAATACAGAACTTTAATTTGCGTACATACCGTCAACAAATGCCCATATAATATGCTCACACGGAGAACGCTGCAAACAAACTAGATCCTGCTTCTTCTTTCATATATAATCCACTTTTTACTTAGCTTTGACTGCACTATCTCAGCGTCCATTTGAGGGTACACACTCTTTTTTTGCAACAGCATGTATTAGTATCTTCTTTTTAAATGTAGTACTAATATATATACTTGTCTGAACTTTTCCTTCATGTTTTTGGTTTATCTCAATGTTGACTGCAGCTTCTGACTCTTATGTTGCAGTCTCTTGAACTTGGTTCGGATTGTAAAATGTTGAAGAGTATGGATGGTTTAGCAGGGAAGTTGTTTGGGAGTTCACTCCTCTACATGCTTAAACCTTTGTTCCGCATTTTATCTGTAGGTCCAACTCCAAACCACGTTGCCTTTATTCTGGATGGGAATCGGAGGTATGCCAAGAAACGGAATATGGCAGTAGGCAATGGATACAGAGCTGGATTTATGGCTGTCATGTCAATGCTCAAATATTGCTATGTATTAGGTGTCAAATACATGACAATATATGCATTCAGCATCGATAATTTCAAAAGAAGGCCGGAGGAAGTCCAGTATTTGATGGACTTAATGCTGGAGAAAATCGAAGGATTACTCCATAAAGAAAGCGTTGTCAATCAATACGGAGTGAGGGTACATTTCGTAGGAAACCTGAAGCTTCTTACCGAGCCAGTTAGAGTTGCAGCTGAGAAGGCAATGCAAGCCACTGCCGACAACACCAATAGCACTCTCCTAATTTGTGTGGCATATTCTTCGACAGATGAGATCGTGCATGCTGTTGAATCATCCTGCCAAGAGAAATGGAATGAAATCCAAGAACTTAACGCAAACCAACCTCAAAATGTTGAAGAAACTAAAGAGATACGGGAGCTAAATCAGATCATAAAGCTGGTAGATATAGAGAGGCATATGTACATGAGATTGGCACCTGATCCTGATATGTTAATTCGAACTTCAGGTGAGACTCGCCTTAGCAATTTCCTCCTTTGGCAAACAACAAGCTGCTTACTGTATTCGCCAAAGGTATTGTTTCCTGAGATTGGTTTGCGACACTTGATATGGGCAGTGTTGCACTTCCAGCGACTGTTCCCTCATTTGGAGAAGAAAAAGCAGTTGTAAATTTAGTGCTACAGTTCCTCTGTATTTTACCCTGTTTTTTCCTCGGATCACTTATTGCCTAATATTTTACCTTCATTATATAGCATAATGCTCTCCTCTTAAGATAATCTGTCTATAATTGCTGCAAAGTACTTTTTATTCAAAGTTCCAATAGGTTAACTTGGCTGTTTTCATATTATTGAATTCCAAATTAATGCATTCCAGTATCAAACAGAAGTTTAATCGACTACATGCACAAGCTGTCTCGGACACCACAATTATTATTGAATATAATTTTATACTCCGTAAAAAAATTGATTCGTTTGTTCTCAGATAAAAAAACATATGGACTAAGAATTCGGTCCTTCCTTAAAAATGACTAATAACCCGATCCGAAGCTTCCAAAGAATGCAAACTTTCACAACCACCATCCATGCCCTCCATAACCCCCTTCAGTAAAATAATGAATAAAGGAAAGAAGAACTAGAATCAGATCAACTTGGAAAGCAAAAGTGATTTCTGTAGAAATGGATTTAGGATTTCAAGTTAATAAGTGGGAAGTATCATTGCATCTGCAGCTCCTTCTTGCTAATTAAAGAAACTTAGTGTAGATATCAGTATTATACAGTATTATTTAAGAAGTAAGTGCAAATGGTTGGAGTTAAAGAGAGTGGAAGGCATATTTTATCGTTAAATCTGTATGTTTGGTTCAAGGATCAGAAAAGAAAGAATACCGGGACGGGGGAACCATTGATTTCAGTACCCTGTGGGAAGGAGTGAGACTTGACATTATAACAATGAAATGAAAAGGCGAATTGCAAAAAGAGTAACACAGTAGTACGTGATCGCACAGCCAAGGTTGAGACTGCCATGTGCTTACCTGAAGGAGTGAGACTTGAGCACAAAGCATAAGGAGATATAGTTAAAGGTGTATACACTTGCGGATGGCGATGATCCTAAGTTCCTAACAGATATACACTTGTGAAATTACAAGCCGACAATTCAATTAATAAATAACATTTCAATATACATATGATCATGTAACTAGGACCTTACAAATGAAATGATTTCAAAAACAGTTGACATTCATGATTCAAGTAATTTTCAAATGAATGATTGAAGAGAAAGTTGTCAAGACATGAAAAGAGTACAAAACAGCCAAAATCTTGACAAAGAATATCACAAATCTGGCAATCTCAGCAAATGTAGCTACTACCAAGCATTCTGAATCCAGGATCAACGCTTTGATTGGTGCAAGCTAGGCCTGTTACAGAACATTCGACCATTGGCCCTCACAAATGCAGCTATGCCCAAACTCATGCTTGCCCATACCATTGCATATAGCAAATTTCGGAGATCATATCGAACTATAGACAGGGAAATAGAGAACAGGAAACATGTGTAAGGTTTAACAGCATCAAGAGACGTAAAGATTGTAAACAGGTAGTGTTATCGCAACATAATAAGCAAAGAGATTGAAAGACTAGATTTGCCATCCTCCAGAATTTAACACATAGTGAAAAGATAGAAAAGATCAGGACAATGCAAATTAGAGGGCATTAAACTATTTCTCATCTGCAGTTCGGTTCTTCTTAACTCCTTGTTACGATGAAGTTAAATTAATAATGCGTGACCTGAATATAAAATATGATCGAAGAATTATTAGCCAATTATTACCTTATTCCTTCTTCTTTTTTTTCCAACTAAAAGGATTTGGATTCTTGAATAGAACTTCAAAGATAATGATTGAAGAGCAAATTAAGTAAAACTTTTCAAGTTATGCCAACTCACCTTTCCTTAGCGATAACATAGCAAAGAATAACCCCGTCATTATCAGCGCCAATGCTATAGGAAATGGCTGTAATCACATAAGATACTTGTTAGGCAAGTGTCGACCTTAATTACTACTGATGGTATTGAAAGTTAAAGTAAAATGCATAATGCACACTTAAGAGTATATGATTGTCATGAAAAAAAGAGAGATACAAGAAATAGAAAGAACAGGTTAATGGCTGTCATGCGGAATAGCTGGGGAGTAGAAACCTTGATGTAAAAAAAATGAAATACAAGAAATAATGCTTAAAATGAACTAAATGCTTTGACATGTATTTCCAGCTGACGGTGACTTTTGAGGGATTAGAAATAAAAGAGGTGTGGTGGGATAGGCTTCAGAGAGATTCACCAACTAATTACATACTCAACATCACCTTTCTTCTGTGCAGCAATAAAATATCATTCTATCATTCTGTAGTTCTTTCTCTCTTTATAAATTCGTATGACTTTCTTTTAATAAATTTAGAGATATTGCCACGTAAACCTGTGTTTTTGCCTCGTACCCAGGCTTTAAACCAAACATAAAGAGGAGGATACTTAAGAACAGGAAGCATGAACTTCACTTAAAGTGCTTTATAGAAACCTTGACAGTACACTGATGAAGTCAACAATTTGCTATGCCAATATGGTCAAATCACTGGAATCTGATGAATAGGAGCATGTTAAACATGATTAAACAGCATAAGTAATATTACTCACAGCTTTAGTCTCAATGCCTCCTTTCTGGGATGACGGCTTCATATCTCGAGAGACAGACAAAATATAGTGTCCTTGCAACAAATCAACTGCATCCTTCATGATATAAAAAGAATGAAACACGAAGTCAGTGTCCAAATTGGAAAGAGAGAAGCCCAAAATCATCATAGCCAATTCAAACTAGATACCGGTACACATAACATTTGAACATTCTTAATCAGAGCATCTCCTAGTAGTCAACAAGAGACGAATTGATAAGTTATGCGTTTATGGTTTTGATGATTTGTCAAACTTTATTAAGAACCAGATCAGTTCCCTGTGCCTATTGGGACATGCTCAGTTGTCCAAACTCTCGAGAAACTAGATAAGGGAACAAATAAGATCAGTTCCTCAGCTGTCGTACATTCAACTCTACAGCTGGAAAAACTGTCTCACTGTACCGACTGGCAGCAATGCATTCCTCTTTTCTCGCATCCCAGACAGTGTCTCAAACTATGGAGAATAGACGAGGAGGAGGTCGTTTTCGTCGTTCCGGATTATGACATGTTTCGGAAGTTCCTCAAATGCGAGCGTTATTTTTTGAAGATTCTATCCTATTGATGTCGATCCTCCACGATGCTTCTGACGACCTGACTGTTTGCCACTGCGATTGCATCCTAATCTAAACTAATGCGTTACAAAGGTTTTCCGAGGGTTATGACCGAACCTTTTTAGGTTGCCTATACATCTGAAACGGAATCAGGTCTTAACGTAGTTTGTGGATAATGATAAAGAAAATATGATGAATATGACTGAGCCTGACTCAGGTAGCCTACATATCCAAATGGAATCAGGTCAAAACATACTTCGATTACAACAGATGCAAAATGAAATGGTTGAAAATGATGTGGCCGAGTCTGACTTAGATTGCCGACGTATCCAAATGGAATCAGGCCAGGACGTAGTTCAATAACAAATAATGACTGAATCTAACGAGGATTGCCTACGTATTCCTTCCCAAGGAAATCAAGTCGGGGTGTAGTTCCAAGCACATACAATGTGATACTTGGGTTTTCTATTACAAAAGAAAGGGGAGAGAGAGAAAACTGAATCCTACGTGGATTGCCTACGTATTCATCCGCAGGAAGTCAGGTCGAGTGTAGTTCCGTTACAGCCAGATACTAACTTTATTGTCTTTAAACGTAGTATCTCTTGATTGCGTCTGAGTTGATATGCTTTGTGCTGATTCTTCCGTCGATCTCTACCAAGATTAGCGCTCCTCCCAACAACACTCGGTGGACCACGTAAGGACCTTGCCAATTCGGCGCGAACTTTCCTTTGGCTTCTTCTTGGTGGGGGAATATTTTCTTCAGACCCAACTGCCTCAGTATAAACTGGCGAGGCTTCACCCTTTTGTTAAATGCACTGGCCATCCTATTTTGATACATCTGACCATGGCATACTGCATCCGTTCTCTTCTCGTCAATGAGCATGAGTTGCTCCTGCCTAACCTATATCCATTCTACATCGTCTAACTTGGCTACTTGGATGACTCTTAAAGATGGTATCTCAACCTCGGCGGGTATCACAGCTTCAGTGCCATATACCAACATGTATGGCGTTGCCCCAGTGGAGGTTCTCATGGTGGTCCGATAACCTAGTAAGGCAAAGGATAATTTCTCGTGTCATTGCCTATGATTGTCCACTATCTTTCGTTGAATCCTTATTATACAAGGTTTGACCTAATACTTAATAATCTGAAAAACCTATCATCTCAAATGCTAGCCGCCAATGTTTCCTCCAGGTGCACTCAAGAACAAAGCTGCTACAAACCAAGGACCAGATCCCAACACTGAAGATGTCTTAAGTCCTTAAGTTTGTTGTGTCTTTGTCTTTTGTTCTTTACTTGTATTCCTACACGGCTTTCTAGAAGTATTTTGTAGGACATCATTTAACCATTATTGTTTTGGTTGTTTGGCTAGAGTTAGTCAAGAGTGTTGCTTTGTAATAGAGTTATTGCAAAGGGCTTACAATAGAGTTATTGTAAGGGGGAGGGATTAATAGTTTAATTCCTAGATTGCAATAGGTTGTAATCTGAAGTTTCCTCAGTTTAGTGGAGTTGAAATCCTACTAGGGTAGGTCGTGTTTTTAATTCATTGAGCAGAGAGTTTTCCACGTAAATATCGTGTGTTATTTACTTACTGCTTGTTTACTGTGGGAACTGATTGAGAACCTGGTTCTCTATACTGTTTGGTGGATTCCTAGTTTCTATCAAGAATCCAGGGGCGGCCCAACGGTGTTTGGGGCCTAAAGCCAAACTTCAATGAGGGGCCCTAAGTTTTTCGGTATTAAAAAACTTATTTATTAAAATTTTATTTAAAGTTTATTTTTCTAGTTTTTTGAGATGTAAAATTATTTATAATCGATTTCTTGACTAGGATTATATATGTTTTCACTTTCTAGGATTATTATTCAATTCTTTTAGGATTTATCGGTGACTCACCAATTTCTTCTTCTTCTTCTTGGATTCCATTGTCTATCTAACTCAATTATATTAGTGATTTGTTCATCTACCACAAAATTTTCCCTAATTTTTTATTTAAATTTTTTATTGTTCGCTAAAAATTTATCAAGCACTCCTTTTTGGGATTGTATTAAAGTTCCAATTCTTCCATTTTTTGGCATTTTTAATACATGGATTCATATTTTCTTGTTGACATATTAAAATTCATAATAAATAAATAAAAAGATGATACATATACTTACAAACAAAAGATATCAAAAAATAACAAATTCTAGATGCAAAGTAATAAGAAAAGTACGGAACAATTGAACCTGGTTCAACAAACAGTTATAGATAACTATATTACTTTTGTTGCTTCAATATTTTTGGTGCAATGCCGGGAAAGCTTGACAAAAAAGGGTTGCAATTGCCTTTTGCTATCTTACTTGACGGAATGTTTTATGAGATAATGGACTTGTAAAGAAAGACAAAGTAATCAAATTAATATGGGCCTCATGATAATAATGATAGTGTATAAAGGAGTCAAGAAACATATTCACACCTAAAGTTTAGGGCTGAATCCCAAAAGTAACTATTCATATTACCAAATTATCTCTTATTTCCTTTTTCATGAAAAATGCATTTTTTTTTGATATATTAGATATTTTTAAAAAAAAATTATCATATGCAGCTATTTAATATTAGAAAATTTTGGGCTCCCATAGATATGGGGCCTCAAGCGGTTGCTTGAGTTGCCTTACCATCGGGCCGCCCCTGCAAGAATCCAATAAGATGGCAGCACGTTGCAGATGGATTCAGACACATGAAGTTTAGAACCGTTAAAAGAATGCTTTCCAAAATTTCAACTGACAGATTAGTATGATACCAATTTGCAAGTGACAACACACAATAAAGGCTAAGGGNGAGGCCCGCGAGACCGGGACCGGGATAGGCTGGGAAGTGAGCCGGTTCAAGCGGTCCTAAACGGGCATATATGGGCCCAACGTGGGCCCAACGTCTAATTTTTTTTAAAAAAGAAATCTGCCCATTTGAGCATTTAAAATCTAGCCGTTTCCTCTGCCAAAATAACCGTTGGCTATTTACAAAATAGCCATTTAACCCCCCAACTTTGTTTTAACCCCAATTTTTTTATAATTACACTTTTTCCTATTTTCAATTATAAATACCCCATCATTCTTTCATTTTTCTCACAAAATCATCAATCTCTCTCAATCTCTCTT